GCGCAGGAAAATCGACTTCGATTCGTTTTCAACCCGTAGTTGTAGGCATACGATAGCCAACCAATATTGAGGTAGGTACAACGTTTACAAGGGATAGTAAGATTATCACTTTTTTAAAAGTTCAAATTGTTGAATTATATAGTATAAGCAATCGGAACAGATTCTTATAATTGTTAATTTGTAAATCTTCCACGAAGGTTTCCATCGAAGTCGAGCGACAACCACGTGCTTGAACGCTATTTCAGGAAGAGGAGAAAATCCCGCACAGCTATAAAGTGGTATAAAATGCAATCATGAATAATACATTATTGGAAGTATATTTACAAGAAAAATACAAGAATAAGCTATACAGTACTTGATATGACAGTGCACATTTGCAATGTATGATGCTAACCATATTGGTCTTACCGTAGAAAACTATGACGTTTTCTATGAAAGTAAAGTTATTCTCAAACATGAGTGCTGTTGTTATGCTTTTACCATCAGAGCAACCGAACTCTATGCGAGAGAAGAGTGTGAATGAGAAAAAAGAAAAACAAAAGAGTAAATTTCAGCTTTACTAAAGGCCTAGGAAGTTGAGATAAAATAGAGTATAATAGTAATTAGGTAGAAGGATTATCGTGAAGTATATAAGTGACATTTTAAAGAGAAGTGGCTAGAAGGATTAGAACCTGTTGAATATGGTGACCTGTAGGATGTCTGGCGAACTTGTGTATGGCCCATGGGATAGCATCTTGACAAGAAACTGAGCAGGCTTGTAGATGTTAGGAGCGAAAGCATTCTTATTTTTTTTACAAGCTAAAACTGTACAGTCATTATTGTTTTAGTTTGTTTGCTTTTTAAATTTTTTTATAAAGCCAATTTTTTTACACTTTCAGTATCTAAACTCATGTTTAATTCTCGAGCTGCCAAAGTAATGCATGTTGCTGTCCTACAGATCGGAGCGATTCACATTTTTGACCACTACCAAATCTGCTGATCAGCATGCGCCACCCTCCCTCCTTTTTTGACATTAAGCTCTGAGACCTTTTACAATGACTGCAGTTGTAATATTGGATTGCTTTGACTCCTTCCCAATCATGCAGTATGCTGCACATTAACAGCTCTCATGACAAGTGCTTCCCATTAGGTCACATGGCACAATAATACCAGAGGACATAGTTAGCACTATTATCATCATACTAGTGAACAAGTGGATTACTACAAAAGACTAGGAAATTAGGTTTCCCTTAAGAGTTATGAAGTATAAAAACATCTAATATTAGAGCAACTAAGTTATATTCTATTTAGCAGTGATATGAGTAGTGGAACAATTAGTGATAAAGTTATGTAAAGTGGTCCTGAGTAAGGCAACTGGTTAGCAGAACTTGTTATGCTGAATTTTCACGACCGATTTTATATGGTGTGCGTTACACATTGCAAAGTGACTCATCAATTACATAATGGAAAAATACTACATAATTTCAACAATACGAATTTTTTTAGAAAATTATATGAAAATGGGTAACTGTTGACTGAAGATAGTCATTTCAACTCAAAAATAGTACTACTAATATTAATAATATATTTGTAGCAGACGCTTAGGAAATTGTGTTTAAGAAGTATGAAGTATAGAAGTAGCTAGTATTACAGCAACTAAGTTGAAGTCTATTTAGCAGAGTAAAAAGTGTAGTGGAACAATTAGTGATAAAACTATGTATAATGATCCTGAAGAAAACAGCCGGTTAACAGAGCTAGTTATGCTAAATTTTCATGACCGATTTTCATACCGTGCGCATTAGATATTGCAAAGTAACCCTTCAACTTATATAATGTTGGAAATACTGCGAAATATTATAAAGACTATACGTTTTAGGAAGGTGTATGAGAAAAGGTGGTCATTGGCTGAGTAAAGTCATTCAGACACAAAAATAGCATTGTATTAATAACTGTATATACATATGTAAAATATTAAAAGGTGTGGTTGCTAATATAGTTGTTTCTGGAAGTACTTATATTAACATAACTTACTGAAGTCTATACAGAAAGGAAAATCAGTAAATTAGTTAAACGTTCGCTGCGTAAGTAGTAGAGTCTAGTTATATGTAACTGACTGAGCTGAAGACTGGACCGGCTTTTACTTGCCATTTTACCAACATTTGTGGTCTTTTAGACAAGCTAGGGTGGACATGTTAATGTGTCTCTCTAGGCTCCGTTCAAAACCAGGGTTTTCACAACATGTAATTTCAGATGGTAGTTGGTTCTAAAGAGTGCGATATTTAATGGTGAAAACGTTTACCCTGATGGATTTTTTGTGGATAGCCACCTCGACAAGCTAGTTGTGGTTTCGCAGCTGGTATGATTTAATATTTTCTTACGTTATGGATGAGTTACTATAACAGTGTTTTCTTATGACTTTGAATAGTAGAAATAAGCTGCAATTCACTCTCCTTAACCACAGAGGTTCTAAATTCAGACGCATACACCTGTCAACATATTCCACTGGTTGGTCAAACCCTATTATGCGTTTCGTTAGGAATCTCTGAACACCCACTGCATTAAGGCTTGGGCTATCACTGGTGATATCATGATAGCCACTGTGTCAGTGTGCTTGGGGTTGTCGTCTGAGTGACCAGAGTGGAGTAGATTACTCACTCTCCAATTGCATAGATCAGACTACTAGAACGGGATCGACTCGATTACCGGAGCATAAGAATTTAACTGGAACTATGCTAAGTTAAATAACGTAGAAAAACAGAGCTCAGCCATTAAATTTCATTAACTTGTAACTTATCACAAAATAGAGTGAGACACAGTGAGGGTATTGAAAAGTAATGTAGTTAGGTGGAAAGAGAAGCTAATGATTGGATGTTTGTCCATTGAATTAACATTAAATTTGTGCAATCGAAGTGACACGATCCTTAACTTGGTTGCAGTAATGAAACAGCAGAATTGAGTACGGTTCTGTAAAACAAGTCTAGAAGTCGTGTGATGAATATGAGGAATAATTGCGGTGGAAATAATATTATGATTATTCCCTTGGGTTCCGAGTGGAACATAAGGCTTCAACAACACATCTCCACTTTGTTCTAGTCTCTCCTCTCCCCTTCAGCTGGGTCCGTGATTGCACATAATCTCTCATCTCCTCCAACTGTTGGCCTGCTTTCTCAATGTCACAGTAAAGTCAAACACTCATACACCACAGTGCTTATACACTGCAAAGATTGTGCAACTACTCCTTTTACATATGCCTCACAGATTGCAATGTTTGCAGAAAACTTATGATGACGATTATAGATAGTGAAGGGTCGGTTATTTGTGGAGTTAAACCTCTGAAATGAGATTGGGTAATCCACGGAGGTGGCTGAGTGGTCACTTTTTTTATTACGAACTCTCCGTACGAAGCATAGCAGCAGCCAGACATATTAGTGAACTACGCTGTAGACTGAAAAACAGGAGCAGGGCATGGGTATTATTATAATGCGCTGCAGTCCTGGCTGCGAAAGAAGGTGACTACCTCACAGAGGTATCATAATATACGGAGACTAATATTTCAGTGACTTCGTTGTCTCCATGAGGACACTGGAAATCTAGAATCTGTACAGTGCAAGTAGAATAAATCAACTGGTACTTTTCGCAAATCTGTAGTCGAAGTTGCCCTCAGATTTCAGCAAGGCACTCAGAACACTGTCTCGTTAGAAATCGCCCATGTAAAGGGAACCTCCAGGAACATAAGGCATTCTACTCAGTGGAGTTACAGAATCACTGGTTGGTAAGCATGATCTGTAAGCGGTATAAAGAGTGAAGGATATAGTACTGTATTCAAAATCCACGGTTCTCCACTCCGATGAACCAAAAATTTGAAGTGAGATTAAGGAAGACAGAAACATCTTCAGACTTGAAAAAGGTATTAGCCACATTTTAAGTTGACAACAAGGAAGACTGCTTCTTGTCACCGCAGACAAATGTGTTATCATGCTCACCAGGCACAAATGACACTGAGAGAGAACATCGGTTCAGGCAAACAATGTCTTAGATGTCATAGCAAGTTAAGACTTAACTCTCAAGGCAGAACGTCCGTTACTTGGAGCCTACAGCTTCAGAAACCCTTGGACAACGCTTAAGGCCCTTACAATAATAAGATACTATAGAATTTTAAAGGCTGAGGATATTGACGTTCACGGAAAGTACGAAGTATCCTGACGCAAGATCTAATACCCACAACTTCTATAGCATTCGTTCCGCGTAGACCAAATGCAAAGGAAAACAACGAAATTGATGTTCCAAATTACGAGATATATTTAGGGACCAAATCAGACTGTTAGATGATTGCTTAGCTGGCTAGGGATCGTGCACGAAAGAACGAACGTGATATAACGGAGTACCAAATGGCGTGGATGCTTGACTGGAAGTCTTCCGTTAAACAAGTTGACCTAAACAGTGAGGATCGGCATCCAATGTTCAGTGATGTATGCTGTGGCCAATAATTTTGGGGAACTATTTACCGCTACAGTAACTTCGTTTTTATGTGCACTACTTGATTGGAATCCTTGGTAAAGTTTAGATTACCTGGCTGCATACGAGCATCCATTCCCTGCATAAAAGATGACCGACACGCACTGGAAAGGTTTTAAAGAAAAGGAACATGTGTAGTCCCTGGTGCGACCGATTTATCATACAGACGATCGATACCTATAATATCTCACGCAGTGGGTAGATAGAATCATTGTGAGCAAGACATTAGGAGGTGACTGTGGAACTTCTTTTTTCCTGTTTGCCAGGTCATGGCATCTCAAGAGATGTAACAGAATAATTCATTGTTTCTCCAAATGGGTTATCAACTTTATCAACCACTGTCATAAGAAGTAGTTCCTACACCCCATTAGGTAAAGAAATACAATACCACGAACATTTGATATGTACGCATATATAATGTTTAATGTAGGTTCAAAATCTTTCATGTTCAGTTGAAAATATTTATCAGAATCTGAACTTAGAATTCTTCAATTAAACTTCCTGTAGGTCGTATTAGCGTTTGTGTCAAGGTCAACTTGAGGTCAGCGATATATGATTAAGAAAACCAAGGGTGGTTTTATTTTGTTATGACGCGAAAGCGTTTGCAGGATTTGTCTTGCTCTGCAAAGAAATGCCACACAAAACTTATGAAAACAGAAAATGAGACGAGGTAATATTTTGTGAAATATATGAGTAAATTAAAATTTTAAATTTACAGAACCTCTGTAAAAACTGGTATTCGATATAAAGATTTGGTAACTCATTTTTTCATTAACTGCTAATGTATGCAATGTACAGTTCTCGTATGCCAGCACCAGTGATCTTGTGATTTTTTATTTTGGAGTTCTGTTGACCGTCGCTGTCGGAGCTGCTTTTCCCTTGTCCATAATGATTTTCCGTTGGATCGTAAATGATTTCATGAAACCTACTGGTGTGCCCTACGAGAAAATCTACCATACGTCGGCTTGGTTTTTAGCTGTAGCGGCATGCACATTTTTTGTTTCATTAGCTCAATCGTGGTGTACTAACATTAGTTCTTCACGGCAAGTAAATTATATTAGAAAGCGTCTAATTCGGGTAAGAAAAACTTCTGGATAATTTTTGTCCCATTAAATGTCAACTTTAAAGAAGCTAAATGACAGTAGTTTAGAATCACTTAGGGATATTTTGCTTATTCATCTTACGCCTAATTCATTATTAAAGCCAGATGTTTGGAACACGGTGAAGTGAAGTGTTTGTTATCGGAAAGTAGCTAACGATACGGGCGACAGTCAGTTACACCAATTCTTCGCGACAATAGGTAATCTATTATTAAAGTCTATAATTTTTTTGATTGCAGCAAGGAATCTTAGTTTCTGCTGGCTATGAAGTAACCTCTAAGCAGAACTCATCAACTGAAAATGCACTAATCTGTTATGTTCCGGTCTCCAATAATAAATTAAACGAAGAAAATACAAAACGAAAGTTCAGTTATCGGAAAACATCTGAAAGTGAAATGCCCAAATAATGTTGAAATATATGATAAACATTTTCATTATCGAGGCTTTCGAAGGAATCTTTGTACATTCGAGCGTTTATTTATTCAATACTTCATACTCATTGAAAACCTCTGGAGATGCCTTGCTGCACAATCAGGAATTAGCCTAGCGTCTTTGTATAATTGTTCTTCTGCTTTTTTTTTATTATGCTTCAGTTAACACCGAGCTCTTGTTTGAAACAAGCACTTGTCATTTTATAAAAAATGTGGCTTATTGTCATCCGTAACTTTATAGGGTATACCTCGTCAGTCTTAGGCTTTCTTTTTAGCACCGGTGTATAAGTGTAATCCAATGGTATTGCGAAGTATTTATGGCACTTTAAATGCATACTGGAGCAGGATTTGGTAGGAAGAGAGTTAAAATTGATCAAATTGTCATTTGCTACCGCTGCATCAAGTAAGCCTTGTTATTTGCCTGCTTGGAATCTTCTGGGCATTAAAATTAGCTAATAATCTCCTCTCCCGAAACATATTTCAGTTAGTGAACGACGTCATTCCTGCTAACAGGTGGTGTTTGGAGGTTTTGCGTGCATTTCGGATTGTGAGAGATTCAAAAGATAGAATATTGCTGTAGGAACAATGCTTCAAGGGTCTTATGGTATTTATTATCGTGTTGTATACCTAGCTAGATAAAGCACATGTGCATTACTAATTAAGCTGACGGAACGAAAAATAGTGGTTTAGAACACAGTCAAGGGACTGAAACGAGCCTTTCGTGAACAGTGCAAGATTTTTCAGATTTCAGATTTTCAGATTTATTGGTTGAGGATAGAAGGCTTGGAGCCTATGTTAATCCTTTTCTAGTAAAATTCTGTGGTTGTCCAAACCCTTCTTGAACGAATCAGTTGAGGTTGCAGACACCACTTCTTCTGGGAGTCGGTTCCAAGAGTTTATGACTCTGTGTGAGAACCAGTACTCCACAGCAATATGATTTCTTCTTGGCTTTTGAACTCTCCTGCTATGTCCTCTAAGGTGTTCCGACCTGGTGGGAAGGAAAAGAGAAAATAGGTCAGGTCCGTAGTCATTATTTAAAATTTTAAACATTGTGATTAAATCTCCTCTCTGCCTACGGTATGACAAGGAGAAGAGATTTAAACTGTCTAGTCTTTCCTCGTATGATAAGTTAGTCATGCCATGAATCATACGTGTTGCTTTCCTTTGAACCCTTTCTAGAATAAGTGAGTCCCCTTTTAGACAAGGGCTGGCGGCCTGGATGCAGTTTTCCAGTCTTGACCTCACCAGGGATGTATATAAGGAGGTGAACATATCTCTGGTGATTCTAGTGAAGGCTATACGAATTGCCCATAATGACCTGAAACTACGTGCAGCCACTGCGCGACAGTGTGCTGTAGTTTTTAAGTCGTGGCTAACTATGACACCTAAGTCCAAGTAAGTCTGAACTGATGGAAGTGTAATTCCCTCTAGTTCATAAGAGCTCGTGCTTGCTTGTCCAATGCGCATGGTTGCACATTTTGTCACGTTTCCTTGCGAATAATTAAGAATTTAGCAGTTCAAACTCTGATGACATTTGTGATCTTTATGAAGCTTCTTTCTTCAACGGACAAGGCTTGAAGATAAATCATCTAAGAATAAGTGCTTCGTCTGACCTTATTTGACTTTCATTCTTCCTACCAGTAGTTTGTGATAGCGCTCACGAATATTTTTTTTAAAGTAGCACATATCAGGAGACCTGCACACATTATCCCATAAGAGCCGTCGTATACATAGTACTGATAGGTAACAGTTGATGCTCTCAGTTCTAAAGAATTAGAAACATCCTCGTAACTAACTTGGTAGGTGTTACTTTTTGAGACTGTAACAGTTTGATCATTTTAAAATTCTAAATATAGACAAGACGTTTTTTCTAAAGGTCTTAGTTATTCTTGCATTCATGTTTAAAACCACCATTATTACTATTCATCAAGAGCTTTCTTTGATGATTGGTAACTACAATATCATCAGGTGTAAGAAGTAAGCAATAAAAGTCTCTTCGGGTACTTACAGGCGTCCATTTGTAAAAAGTGGTTATTTTACCTACGTTGCATATGATCTAACTTCCTTAAATTCCTATAGACTATTTTTGCTGAGTACGAATGAAGACAGTCGTTTTATGGTGTGCCTTTCATCATAAAACAAAGTTTAAGAGTCGGTTGATTATGTATGAATATGCATACCATGTATTTTCAATCCCATTTGTCATATAATGCGCTTATTTATTTCTCACATTCTTCATTCTTTTATTGTTTATTTAGGCAATATTGAGTCAAGACATAGCATGGCTGGATGAACATAATATTGGAGGCCTTATGGATAAACTGACTGAGCATACAACTAATATACGTCTTGGTGTAGGAGAGAAACTGAATGAATTCATTCAAAACATCTCAAGTTTCGTATTTAGCCTATCTATTGCATTTGTATGTGGTTGGAAGCTTAGTTTAGTCGCTTGTGCAACACTACCGTTAGTGCTTACTGGCTTTTCTCTGTTTGGTACTTTCGCAAGACGTTTCACTCAGAAAGAGCATGATGCATATTCCAAGTGTAGTGCAGTTGCAGAGGAGGTGTTGAGTGCAATACGGACGGTGATAGCTTTTGGTGTTGAGAGTAAAGAGGTTATTCGTTACAGCAGTAATTTGGATGAAGCTGCTTCGTTTGGCACAAAACACGCTGGTTATCTTGGATTCGGTAAGCCCGACTCATTTATCTTTGTACACCATATTCGAATGTTCAATCTATTTCATACTATAAGAATCTATCTTCATTTTGAGTATCTAAATGCAGCCATTACTTATGCATGTATTATATTTGGTGTTGCGAAAGATATCTGTGGGTTTATCTTTCGATTTGACGTGAATTGGATTACTAAAGGCGTTTCGTGTTTACTTTTCTTGTAGACTCCTGGTAATATTATTTTAATTTGTTTTACTTTATTCTCGTTGAATTTATACTTATGTGCTAATATAAGGTATGATGACTTGAACCAATACTCTATCATTGGGCATTACCCTACTTAGTACTAACTGACTATCTTTCCTGAGATTAGTGCCTTCTAAGTCTTCTGAGTGAGTTAGTTTTTTCTACGAGCACATGAATTTTGTGAGTTACAAGCTTTTAAGATCAGTATAAATATTAAAATGTTTCAGTTAACGAAAAGAAGATAGTTGCATGCTGGCTAATCGCCTTCCTCGACAGGTAATGTTAACTGATATAGGATTAAGTTGGGAAAGAATTAAGGGTGGTTAAATGAAAAATTGAAGTCTTTGACTGTTGGTTTGAGCTCTACTGAGAAATTTAGACTACCTGGTTGGACTTTCTGGAACTCTAAGAACCAATGGTTTAAAACTGTTGGTGATGTGACTTAAAATCGTTGCCATTTTATTGTGTGTGGTGTTTCATGGCCACTAAACCGCCATGTTTTCCATGTTACTATTCTTTCTCCCGTATATTTCTGTTGATTATGGTTCTTTGAAATCTCTTCCCTTCTTTCCCAAACCTTTCTGTGATATACGGAGTGTTGCAACGTGAAGTGCTGCACTTCTATGCATCTCTGACGAAATCTCAGCATGCATAGAGAGGGCTAGTTTTGCATATGCCAGTTTACGCCGTCTCTGACATTGACTTAATATCCAGCTATCGACCAAAGGGTGGGTGTACTGCTCAGCAGTTCGCTCTGTCCTCCATTTTGGCTGTGAGACCTGGCCATTGAAAGTGGAAGACATGAAAACACTTGCTGGCTGTCTTTAATCATAAGTGTCTGCGTTCTATCTTCCGTGTTTATGGGTATAACAAGGTGAGCAATATTGAGCTTAGGCATCGGTCGAGTGCTAGGTAAGGAGGGGAAAACAATCGACGAGGTTGTGAAGCTACATCGACTGAGATAGTTTGGACATGTGTTGCGTATGCCTAGTCATCGCCTTTCTCGCCGGGCAATGTTAGCTGACATGGGGTCAGGCTGGAAAAGAGCTAGAGGCGGTCAAACCAAAACATGGCTGTACCAGTCAATGAAATCCACAACAGTTAGTTTAAGCCAGTCACGTAGGAAGGTGTAGACTTCCTGGTTGGGGTCCTCAGGACGGTAAAAACCAATGGTTGGAAACAATCGGTGATATGGCTCAAAATCGTTTTCAATGGCGCAGATGCATCCACTCCCTGTGACTTATAATTTCCAATGAAACTATATGGTTCTTCGTTATTACTATTCCCTTTTGTCTCATATCCCTGTCTGCTGTCTCTATTTTGCATTTCTTCTCTTGCTTTGTGTGCTACATAAAGGGAGAGTGGCGACTTGAACTGCTGCACATCGGTGCAAAGTTCTATGTCGAAAACAGACAGACAGACTTCTATGCATAATCACAGACAAAAGTTGAACAGTGTTTTCGTCATCTTTCAGTAGTCTGCCATTTATTCTTTTGTACTTATAGTAGTTTTGTGCACTAATTTTTCGCTAACTCATAAGCAGATTAGTGATTTGGTAGGATAGAGAAATAAACAAAAACTTAATTGTTGACCTCTTGACTTTCATTAATTGACATGTCATGATTATGAAGTCAAAGGTGTCAGTTAAGGTGATCAATCTAGGTCAACCAAATTATTAAAGCATGGAAATGCAGACAGGTGTTTAATATAGTATAGATTGTGTCATACTAATGTGTACTATTGCATACAATCTTATAAGAGAGTAAAGCAAAGTAACAACTTTGAAAGGCAATTTAATTAGATATGAGAATAGATTTATATTTGGAGATTTGTCTATTGAATAAGCAATAAATACACATAGTTGAAATAACTCGGAACTACTACCTAATGTTCATAAAACTGTAGTATCTTTACAAATAGAGGAAAAATTTGAATCACAGGATATACATCGTGAATTTTTTTCTTGCCCTCCCCACCTCCTCACAATATAACAGCAGAAAATAAGTCACAGGATTTCATCGTGAGCTGATATCGGCTAAAGAACCATTAGAATACCTGAGAGTACTGAACAGCTGTTTCGTCCCAATTTGGGACTCTTCACAGTACGCACCCACCGCCAGGGTTCGAACCTAGGACCTTCTGGTTACTAGGCGCACCACTGGGATGAGATCCAATTTCAACCTCTGTCAGTTTACGATGTGGCGTGACCAGTAGCCAATGGTGGCGTGTATTCGTTCTCACACCCGACCTGCTGCACCCCACTAGTCACGACCTTCCACTACCTACCTGAATAGGGCCAGTCGCCATTGAGCATCAGATCAAGTTTTGGTTCGCAGGGATTTGATTGGTTTGAAAAGTCACCCAGTATATGATACGGTTTTACTGTATATTATGTCTAATAAATGAAGGCAAAGTTATTTTGTTTGATGGTATCTAGCAGTGAAACCCGGGATACGCACTTCGTCTTGAATCCTGGACCTTCAGGTTACAAGACCAAGCGTGTTGATTATTCAGCCACCTCGGTAGGGGTTCATTGACCAAGTGAATTCTAACTTTATCAATTTGTTATATAGCGCTACTGTCACCAATCTCTTCGATTAACCTCCATTTCACTTGGACATTGTGGGCTTCACTGGTCACTATCTCTTACTTCAACTTCAAGAAATTCTTGCAATGGGCATCAATGAGCTGTAGATCAATATTTAAATTATGGGTTTTTCTAGAGATTTCGATTAATTTCACGATCGAAATCAGTTTATAATTAACTTGAAAATCCCCATTCAGTCATATAAAAGAAAAGAAGGCGTTCAGCGAAGAGACTCTTTTCGGCGAATTCATTCACTGAGCTGTACAATCGCATATATATATATATATATATATATATATACAATTTTGTTTGTTTGTGTGTACATTAGATTTATAAAGTTTTGATAATTATGTAATATAAGTATTATTTGGCTTGGAGACAAACGTCAAGATAGAAAATAAAATAGAGTTGCTTAAGTGAATTGGATGACGTTATACGGTTGAGTAGAATTCAGAGTAGGTCAGGTTGGCAACAGTGTTAATGAGTGGTGGTCAAAGTTAAATAAGAGTCGGGGTAGAGAATAATACAGTTGAAAATAAGTAAGTTAATTGGATGACGTAACATAGTTGACTAGAAATTGGACGTGGGTCAAGTTAGCAACATTTTTAATGAGGGTAGAGATTACAAAAGGGTGGGGTAGAGAATAATACAAATGAAGATGTGAAATAATACAATGCAAAAGACAAAATAATACAATTAGTAAGACTGAAATTAAGAAAGATTAAGTCCGTTGTAGATTTAATGAATGAACGAATTTCTTTTGTATGCAGAGTTCAGGATTTAGCAGATGAATTGCCATTGCTTCTGCGATGTGGAGAAGTTTGATCCATACACTTTTAGCAAGATTGCTATGTATTCTGTAGATAACTTTGAAGTTTATTTCTGGTTTGACTTGGTGTCCAGAGTCGATCAAATGTTCAAGGATCGAGCTGCGGGGGCATCGGTTTTCTCCTTTATAATCTCTACCCTCATTAAGAATGTTGCTAACTTGACCCACGTCCAATTTCTAGTCAACTATGTTAAGTCGTCCGATTAACTTACTTATTTTCAACTGTATTATTCTCTAACCCCACTCTTATTTAATTTCATTAACACTGTTGCCAACCTGACCTACTCTGAATTCTACTCAATTGTATTACGTCATCCAATTCACTTATTCAATTTTATTTTACTTTCTATCTAATTAACGTTTGTTTCCAAGCCAAATAATACTTATATTACATAATTACCTAAACTTTATAAATCTAATGTACACACACACAAACAAAATTGTATATATATGCGATTGTACAGCTCAGTGAGTGAATTCGCCGAAAAGAGTCTCTTCGCTGAAGTTTATAATTGTATATTGGATTTAATGTATTTCATTCTTTATTTCATTGAGAGCACCTTTGTTTTTTTTTAATATTCCAGCTGGTGGTTTTGTTGGAATGTCTATATACGCGTCTGCAGCTTTAGTATTTTGGTATGGAGTGACATTAATTCGACAAGATAATTATGATCCAGGATCTGTAATTCTAGTAAGTTTACTACAGTTCTTTCACCTGTTTTCTTTTGGTTTTTTGTGTGTTTAAGTTTTCATCAGTAATCATCTATGGATTTGTAAAGGCTTATAACAAAAACACGCCATAATTGATTAGTTTTTTCTTTAAGTCTTTCAAGTTGATAAAGCCACGTCTATGTGAAAAAAAAAGATGTCGATATGTATTGTATCTTTGTGAGGTGATTCTGTCTTGATTTATGTGATGCATATCAGTGCAGCTACTAACAACTATCAAGTGAATTCATACTCTGTTATGTAAATAGTTTCGTTTTTTCAACGATCAAAGTATTTAGTGGTGTATGCATTAATTTTTGTCATTAAGCTTCCGATAATCATATCATTTAAGTAATATATTAATTTTTACGAGTTGATCACGGATTGATATCAGTTAGAGAACCATTGAAAACCAGCCACAGGGAGTACTGGACGGCTGTCTCGTCAGCCTAGTTTGGGAATCATCGGCAGTACGCACCCACACCCACTGGGGTTCGAACCCAGGACCTTCCGGTTACAAGGCAAGGTGGCTCGTATACCATTCAGCCACTGGGACCCTATTCAATGGCTCATGAATTCCAACTATAGAAAATTAATCTGATGCTCGCTAGTGACTTTCTACAGGATGAAGTTTCCTGGAGTTCTAGTGAGAAGTTGTGACCAGTGAGGTCCATCCAGATGTCATGTGTGAGGATGGATGTGTCCCACCGACGACATTGGTTGGGGTCGTGCTAAATCACAAATTGGTAGAAGTTAGAATTCAAGCGGTGGCCATTGAATCTCGTCCCAGTAGCTGAATGGTATACGAGCCGGCTTGCCTTGTAACCGGAAGGTCCTGGGTTCGAACCCTTGTGGTGGGTGCGTACTGCCAATGATTCCCAAACTAGGATGAAACAGCTGTCCAGTACTCCCTACTTTTCAATGGTTCTCTAACTGATATCAAACCGTGATCAACTAGTAAAAACAAAACTAACCCTTACAAACCAAAATATAGATAATATATTAATGGTGCAAAATAAAGCGATACACATGGACAATTTTAACTGTAAAAAGATTAAGGTGACTTTTACAGTGCAGTGGTTTAAATGTTCCTTTACGTTCCGAGTGAAACTTAGGGCTTCAAGCTAGAGGCTTGAAATTTCAGTCGCAGTGGTGTTTTATTTTGAAGGGGTGGGGTGACTAGTCTCACTCCTAACCTTCCTTTTCCCCTAATCTTACTGATGGCTTAACGAAGTTAAGGACTATGTCGGGTGAAGGTCGAACCCCAGACCACGCGTGTGGTTGATGAATGTTCTACCATCACCAACGCCCCCGCTTTTGAAGTATATGGTTATGTCAATTACCGTGATGCTGCTTATCTTGCCATTTTTAAATGTTCCTGTGCCAATCGATTTTCTTACTTTTTAACTACATTCATGATAGATAGACAAACAGGGGATTTTACTGATCAGTATCTAAGTAACACAATGATAATTGAGGATCTTTTTTATTCCTTTACGTTCCTAGTGGAATATAGGGCTTCAAGCTAGAGGCTTGAAGTTTCGGTAGCAGTGGTGTTTATTTTTACGGGATGAGGTTACTAGCCTCATGCCCAACCTTCCCTCTTTTCCAGTCCTATTACTTGCTGACTTAGCGAGGTAAAAGAGAATAGGATAATAACGTGTGTCTGTAGTTCAGCGGCAGGATGCTCGCCAACCATATATGTTGTCATGAGTTCGATCCCCGGCTGGGGCAGGCTTTTACCTCCCTTGGTTGGTTGTTGGTCTGGTAGAGGCGGAGGGTTGGATGTGAGGCTAACAATCTCACCCCGTGAGAACAGAAGTAGCACCACAGCTACTGAAACTTTAAAGCTCTACTCAGAACGCAAAGGAATGAAATCAAAATGAAGTGAATGAGTAGGATAATAATGTGTCGGTGGTTTCTTTATTGGTAAAATGATCGCCAACCACACATGCGATCCAGGTTTGGTTGCTGAGTGATGCAATCCTAAAACTTGCACAATTTTTACTTGCCCTTAATAAAACCGGTTCATAATGAAGGTTGGGTGTGAGAGTAGCAACCCCACCACATGAAAACAAAATCACTATCAGAAATACGTCAGAGCTCAAGCTTGAAGTCCTGTGTTTCATTCCGAATGCGATGGATTGAATAGAAAGTAATCAAATATATATATATATATATACATATATAATTATTATTATTGTTCCCTTGGGTTCCCAGTGGAACATAGGGCTTCAACTACACGTCCCCACTTGTTTCTGTCTTCTGCTGTGCTTTTCACCTGCATCCATGTTAATCCATACTGTTTCAACTCTTCTTCACACGATCTCTTCTATGTCACCCTTGGACGTCCCACTTGCCACTTCCCTTTCGGGTTCCACTCGAGCTGTGGCCTGACGCGCGATGTCACTCAGCGGCCTCCTCAATGAGTGTCCATTCCATCTCCACTTTCTCCTGCATATTTGTTGAGCGATTGGTTCTTGTTTTGTTTGTTCCCATAGTTCCTAGTTGGTGATTCTTTCCGGCCATCTGATCTTGAGTATAGAACGAAGACGGTTGTTGATAAAGGTCTGCAACAGGCTGTTTGAAATATTCTTTGTGACCCGCCAAGTTTTTGATCCATATAGAAGTGACTTTACGTTTGTATTGAAAATCCGAATTTTGTTGTTGATGCAGGCTGAGTGATGAAGATTTCCAGATTGGTTTCAGGTTGATGAATGTGTTTCTCGCCTTCCCTATTCTCGATTTGACATCCTCGTCCGTTCCTCCTGTAGTTGAGACAATTTTCCCTAGATAAGTGAATGAAGTAACCTCTTTCAAATCCCTCCCGTTTCTGTAGGAATTTAGTTAAGTTTTTAACCAAAGTTTTGTTTGCGTATGTGTTTTTAATAAACCTTTTTTCATGTTATCGATCTACACTTTCGGATTTAATGAATGTCACACGATTGTGTTTCTGAAGTGGAAAAATAAGAATTCTTGTTGTTTTTTGAAGGGTTGCGTGATACTACTTAATTAATTTTACAGTATTTCAGTAAGTTGTTGTACGGCTTGTCAGTTGAGTGTTTGTTTGTTTTACTTGATGATATAAATGGTTGACAATAATCATAAGGAAAGTTTGACTGATTTTGAAGGCATACTTTTATACATAATTTCTAAAAAATCAATTTTGAGGTTTTCGCTCATTTATTCATTCTCTAAAATTGTGTTATTATTATGATTCCTTTGGGTTCTGAGTGGAACATGAGCTTTAGCAGTAGTTCTACATTTCACTCTGTTTTATGCTGCCACTCTACGATTGTCCGTAAGCTTGCGGTGAGAGCTGTCTGCAAGCCAAAATTGTAGACAGCAATTTACGTCAATGTTTACGTCCCGATTCGGGGTCATGAGAAAAAAAGCAATAACAATGCTTAACCTTGAGAAGCTCACCAACCAATCACAGTAGACTTAACGTAAATACGATTCGCAGATATATGGCTTAACTTTCTAGGAAATGGTCACGGGCAGTACAGAATAACCTTCAACAAGAAAACAACCAATCAGAAATCGTTGCTTCTCCCCTTACAATAATGTACATAAAAATCTATAAGTATCTGTTGATTTTCTCAATAAACGATCTGTTGACTGGCCCTTGTCTTCTGTCGCTACAAGCTTCCATTTCCCCCCCTCATACGATCAATTGATTAGATTTCCACTCGACAGCCATTCTTCAAAATTCATGCAGTAGTATCCTCAGTATATGCCCAACCTATCTCCATTTCCTCCTATAGATCTTATAGGTTCTTTGTCAAAGTCCCTTTTGCCTTATTCTTTCTAACCTGTCATCTGATTTTCACTGTGAAGATGGCGAAGGCAGCAACCTATTGGAAACGCTTTCGGTGATGTGCAGGCCATATGGGGACACTGAATCGACAATTATTTCTCATAGTTTGGTAGATTTATCACCTACAAATTAAAATATTCTGAAATATTTATGTAGTTTAGCAACTATTGTCTTATACAACAGACTGATTTATTAAAGTACAAATTGAGCGGAGTGATGAAACGCATAAACCCTGTGCACTTCACTATGATCAACTCAACCCTCTACTAACTGATTTCTGAGATACATAGGAAAACTTATTGTAACCATGTTTTTAGGAATCATTATCCACTGCTCATTTGTGACTGAATATACGAAGATGCAATTTCTAGAGTTCTAATGAGAATTCGTACTTGGGTGCAGGTGTCCACCAAGTTGAATATGAGGATATTTACTCACCGGTAACCACTGTTGAAGGCGGTAATGTCATATGGCAAGTTTGGTAGCATTCAAATTTCATATACCTATTGATTTCACACAAAGTACCTAAATGGTAGACCTGCTTGCATGGGGATCTGATAATCCTGAGATCAATCCCCTATTGCAGTTAAAGGTTCATATTTCTAGAGAACGCTAACTCATGTCGGAATACTTGTCCAGTCCCTCTTCGTTTTCAAACGTTCTGTAACTCATGTCGGTTCGTGACGAAATTTGCCTTGAAACATGCAATCATCTTAGTATAGATGCTATGGGGGGAATAAAAAACGGCTGGAATATTAACCTCATCTTCAGTATGTTTTATATATTCTATCTTTTTATTTTGATTGCTTTGTGTTCCAGTTGAAACGTAGGGTTTCGAACTTTGATGCTTCACTAGGTGTGGTGTTCTTTTTAATGGGGCGAGAGGTTGCCCAACCATTCCTCTTCTCCGGGTGTACCACAAGTTAGGCTGGGTTTCGGAGTGCACCGGCCGGGAATCAAACCCCATCCATGTTCCTGTTTGGAGACCATTCTACCCTTGAATCACTAATGCTTTAATATATATTTTATTGTATTGAATATCTCTTAAAAACAGTAACGGTTGAACTGCGTAATTTATTGGTGTGGCCTGTTTCAGTGGCGATATGGCTCACTGGCTTAAGCACTTGGCTTTCAGTCTGTGGGTCCTAGGTTCGAACCCAGTT